CTCACAAGGTCTTCTCATAGCGTCTAATCACCAGCTCATAGCAAATTCACTCATGGGAGCAGTCATATATGAGCAAAATCATAGCATGTGATGGCGCCTTAAGGGGAAGGGGGGGGAGGGGGGCGGGGGACGGGGGGCGGGGGGGGGGAAGGAGGATTTGGAATGAAAAGGGGAAGAGGGAAACTTAACTCAAGCTAATGCTCTTTGGAAATAAAATCGAGATCGTCTTGGATCTTTTCATTCCTTTCAATTCGAGCATGAAAGGAAATTGGAGACGAGGTCCTGAAAAAGTCATATTTTTTTATTTTCCTCGACCTCAGCTCTTTCTCTGAGGGCAGATTTCGGTATCTATATAACAATAGCAGACGTTTGTCTGTCCGATGGAGTCCTGCACGGGTTAAGTTTTCCTCAGTCGACCAGATCGGGCCCGGTACTCGATCGCTGACGGACCCGCGGAGGGTGTCGGGGCCGATCGGGCTGGCTGCGGCCCGATCAGAGCGGTCCGCGACCCGCTTAGACCTCTACGCTTCGGGATTGGAGGCTTCTGATTCGCTTTGGCGAGCAGCCGACCGGAAACTCGATTGGCGATCCAGCTGGATGCGGGTCGGGTCGGTCCGATCCCGATCCGCATCCCGTGAGGCGCTTCAAGTCCTCCCCCATGCTTCGTGCAATGTCCGGGCGTTCCAAATTACAAATTTGTGGCTCTTTGGAATGCATGGGGCTGAGCTCGCTGAAAATTGAAGGGCTGAAAGGAAAAGTGGTCTAGGTGCAAAAAATGTCGGAAAAATTATCGTTGGTTTGACTCTCGTTGAACCTTTTTCCTTTCATTGAAAATGGTAGTTTTGAGGAATTATGTGAAAGAGGAACTGGTCTTTCTATGCATACCGATTTTCCTCAATTTCAAGTTGACTGTCGCTGGAACATTCGCTCTTTCCGTGTGGAGCTCGAGAAACAATTATTTGCAGGAAGTCTCTGAAAATTAGTCTATGAATTAATATATAAATATTAAACATGATATTATTAATATGCGTCTCGTTTGAATGCTGGGACAGAATCAGCCTCGATTAAGAAGGCGCGAATGTTTCACGACTTGCAGCTAGTTTCGGAAAACTCGAAACGTGGATCGATCGTGTACCCTGGAGTTCGGGTCGGGGAGTTTTCCCTGTGGCTTCTGTAATCCGGAAGGAATGATCATTTGCGTCCACGACGGATGAAATCCCATCCGGACGCATGCGATGAAGAGTGACATCGCCCTTGACGATTCCCGGCGCACGCGCTCGCATCACAC